TTTTACAATTCTGTATAATTTTAGCTAATTTATTCAAATACCGCTGACTCACAATAGAACTTTTTAGTTTGGAATATGATCCCAAACTATTTAGGATTTAAGTTTAGTTTGCTCATGACTTCTGAATTCCTAGGTTTTCTCCTTTTCCTCTAAAATGTTGTCGAGTTATACGCAAGTGCGTAATTATTTTCTCAGAAAAATCGACCCATGGACAAGCAGTGTATCAACCTTTTGAGGAAGTGGCGCATAAACCATCGCAACAGCCACAAGCAAGACGATAGCCAGGGTGGTCAAGCCCTTCGTTGCTATTGCGAGCGCGAATCAGAAAGTCTTTATGATATTTTATAAGTAAAGGAAACCTTACTCTTCACTAGTATACCTGATTATGCGGATGAAATCATAAGACTAGATAACTCGATACATTTTTTTGCCCAGCTTTAGAGGGATTTTACAAGCTGTCTCCTGTACAACTACTTAAATGGTAGTGTATCTAATCTTTTCATCGGCCAAGCCTGATGGAATAGAGACGCTATTTTACGTTTTACGATAGGAAGGTTGTCTTATTTTGACAGGCTGATCGAGATTAGTAAACTAATAGGCGGATTATCATGAAGCTCTTTGTTCCTACCCGATTTACCGTATAGGCTTAAATAATTATCTATGTTGACATCAGGGAACTTTCCGCCCTTCAGAGTGGAACTTTGGGCATTGTTCTTTGCAATGGGAAGACCATGGTGCTTCAAGCCTTTCCCACTGGACAGAGGTCCCGACCAATTCCACTTCCTTTTTGCTGCCTGCACTCCTCACTCCTGCATATACATTCATGAGGAGAAGTGGGCTTGTGTGCTCATGTGGTCGACTCTGGTGTATTCACTATCCACGCAAGCAAGGGTGAGTATATGTATGTGGGCTTGCATGCCATAATGCGGGAAGTTGTAACTTGTCGCTTAGGCAACCTACAAAATTGTCAATAAGCTTAATGTTGAGACTATCCTGTGCTAGTCTCTTTTCGACAGTTAGTGCGTGTATGCAAATGTAAGTTAAACTTCAAGCCTTGTTGTACGACCAAACGTTACTCTGGACACCTCTTCGGTGAGCTAACAGCTGGAGACCCGGAGTGCGCATGGGAAATAAAAATAATTAACTCTTGACCGATGTGTTTAGAAGTGAATCATTAAATGGGCAAGGCATGAGGTGAGGACACCATCGATCCGTCACTATGACATGAGGAGACAACCAAATGTCAACTCCAAAGCATCTCCGGTACACCAGTGAGCTGGTCCCCGTCTAATGAGGCGGATCAGCAGGCAGTTATCCGGTATCATCGTGACAAGTGAGCTACACGAAAAATGCAACAGAACAAGGTGGATAAAGAGGGGTGGGTTGAGGAGAAACGTGTAGATGACTACTCTAGGAGGCTAGGAAGAGCCAAGAGAATATAATAGGAGGTAGTGAAGTAGAAAAAACGGATAAAAGAGTCTTAAAGTAATGAATACCGTAAAATGGCCTCAACTATACAATTTGTCGAAAAGGGTTTTATTATTAATATTAATATTGGCAAATAACCAGAGGAAAAGAATGATCACAGCAAAATTAAAGAAGATCATGTTGGATGCCATGCGAAAAGGCTTTTATTTATTGCACATCTGCATCAGACTGAAACGCCAACAGTCGGCGAGCGACGCTGCATCAAGCTTTGGTTTTAATTAATGTCTCGAATTCTTCTCGCTTAAGTGACTCAGCCAACAATGCCTGTTTCCGCGTTGGCCCTGCCGATTGGCGCTAAGTCTCACCAACCAGCAGCGGGTGAATTTATGGGCCGAGAAGCGGAAGGTAGTGTACCATGCGGGTCTATACACAGGCGATTTACCGGTCTTACGAGGTTTTCTACTTTGTAAACAGGTTTCCAAACTTTGCATGCTTGCACAGTCATGGGAATTTGATCTCAACAAAGACTCGTTAAGCCCCTATCGGCGTGTATGAGAGTTAATTGTCCGTCGTTTCGTTGACACTTTATACCATAACTAACAAGTACGGTGCCCTGAGTATGAGCTAGCAGACTGCAGCTCTAACAAAGGTCACAAGGGTTACAGCTACGATCACTGTGGTATTGATGCAATTACGAACTAGCCTGAACCTAATTAGCATTTCGGACGCGATTCAAATTCAACTCATCAAAATTCCCTATGTTTTCTATAGTTCGAATGCCTTCCATGTTGATTTTCACGGTAGATAACTTTTAGCAAAGTGTTTGCAAAACTTTAATTTACCTGTATTAGCATTTCTGTAG